ATATATATATATATATATATATATATATATATACATATCGTAATCACGTGACCAAAGTCACTCGATCACACGACCGAGGTCAGTGATCCCGCCAAAGTCGCGCGGCCAAGGTCAGTGACCCCGCCACGTGACTTTACTTTAGTCACGTTTTTAATTTTCTCCACGTATACGACAAACTGTCAAAATCGTTTTTTTGTCATTTTATTATTTACTCTCTCGATTTTACCGTTTCGATTCTATCTCGACTCGACTCGATCAACCAACTAACTAATCGGCAATGCGGAAAAAATGCAACAATAGATGCAATATATTCGATATCAAAACGCGCACTTCGCGGTACACATGGGTTTTTTTATATAGGTGGATACGTGAAATAATTTCGAAGTATACCCGATCGATTAGAACTGCGAGCTGCTTTTTATACATGCGCATATTAAGCATTAAATGAGAGTTATTCCATAATCGAACGGAAACACATACACATTAGTAAAATATTCTCGCGTATATACATCAATAATGTCGTAAACGCATGTATTACGCGCTGCAACTTTGCTTTATAATATCGCACATAAAAACACACATTGTTCGAACCAATAATTAGCTATAAATTAGCGCTCTTCGCAGGCCTTTTGATGTGCGAACCCGAGCAAATTTTCCGCACACATACAGCCGTCGCGCATTTCAGATAAATTTTGCCAATGATATTGCAATTCCACTGTAATACGCGTTGTAACAGAATATTTGCGTCCAAAAGACTATTTCATCAGGAGAGTGTAGTGATAGTGAAATTTTCCTAATGATAATTATTCTACAATATATTCACGTTCCGTTACGTTTTCACGGAAAATTTCTGACAAACTATCGCGTGGTTTAATGTCAAAAATAAAAAGAAATTAATTTCTTTAATTATTAATATCTTTCAAAATATGTTTAATTTAATTATAAAAAATGTAAAAAATTAAGTAGATCTGTTTTGCAAAGAATCAACTTTTTGCAATATAATTACGATACAAATTGTTGTAAATTGTAAATTGTTATTATATATTTTAATTGAAATCAAATCTACATCTTATTGGCGAAGTTTGGTCTGACGCAGCGCCATCGATATATGAAGAAATACAGAATTGAAATTTAATATCTGTGACGAGAAAGAGAGATTTCATCGACTTGTACGGAGAAGCGTGTTGCCGCGTAAAACGCAGCAAATCGTAGTCGTTGAGAGTGCAATCAGACATGTTCGTTTCGCAGGGCGGACGAAGAGACCCGAGGGGGAGCCCGTTGTGCCACAGAAAGGGATGGAAAGACAGATGACGGGGATAAAACTGCGTTCCGGCTGTGATATCACGTCGCTCGCATTTAAGAGAGTTGAGGGCACGCCCGTTTGCATTCGCGACGAGTATCTCGCTCGGTTAAGCGCCCTCGCCAAGTGGTATACTCTCGTTAGCCGATGCGTCTGACGCTAAGTGCGTGACTACGTTTTATAATCCAGCAACGTGTATAATTGAGATCCGCGATTTGTTTTCTTTCGTTGCGATCGCGCAATATCGCCTTTATTAATTGATTGTGAAATTACACACGTCGGAACTTGCGTAGATGTTACGAATTGTGGATTATTTTTAAGTAGATAATATGTGTACTAAATATTTTATTTTGTCGCAATGCTTGTATATTTATTCTTGCATTTGTGGATGCTAACTGTGTATATTATTATAGTTGTGTTAATTCTAATTATTCAAGGTAGCTTATTCTCTGTCTCTTCATTATCTTGTAATTACATATCTTGAATATATATGTGTGCTAATAACATTACCGCTAATTAATATACACTCTTTATACAAGGGTCATAAAGTTGATGCTCTAGAATATAACAAACACATTATCTATTATTATTTTTACATTCATACATTATTATTTTTAATATTATCGGTCTCCGGAGTAGACTGAGCTACGAAAATTATTATGCTTTCTCTTGCATATAAAATACTTTCTGTTTGTAACATAGTGATTTCCCTGTAGCACTAATTTTAAGTCGTAGACAAATAAAAAAGGTATATGGATGTCTTAAAAAACCAAAAGTAAAAGTTATAAGTTTCCTTAAGAAAAATATATATCTTTCAAATTCATTAACACACATGTCAAAATTTCAGAATATAAGAACAAATATTAAGATTGCAAAGCCGGAGTTTTTATTCTTATTTTTATCAACCTAAAAACATAAAAAATAGTCGGTGACACTAAGCAACAATTTTATACTTTGTATGATAAATAACACACGTAAAATATACGGAAACCTCGATTTGTGCAAACGTCAGGAAAACGCAACAATTTTTTCCAAGTACGGCGCGACTATAAATCCTAATTCTTTTATCGCATATCATAGATTATCTCGGAAACGCGTACACAGCTTGTGGCACGACGCGACGGCTTTTAGTAGGTCACTGTATCATTTTATTTGCGAAAGAGCGTTTGCAGTAAACGCAGCTCGTTTGGGCAAAATGTCGAAACTTTAAGAGAATTTAAAGCCCCGCACATATTCCCTTTTCCGTTTCTCGCGAGAAAATGATCCGTGTGGACGAGGAATGGTTTTGGAAAGCCCGTTTTCCCGACGCTTATGTGACGACGACGACGACGACGCAGCTACATTTCTCGACAGAATACACTGCGCAATTGTATATGCTGTTAAAACTGAAACACCGCTGCTGCTCGGATGAAACCGCAGTTTTTTCAACTATATGTCGGTTTCTTTCTTTTCTCACTTGGAGATCACATTTTCCATTTCTGACTTGTGCCGAATATGAGCCGCGTTCGTTAGTAATTCGTTCTGAATTCAAAGCAGAAAGAACCTTTGCGGAGAAATAATTCTCTTGTATATTATAATTTAAAAACAAATATCTCCTAAAAGTTTTGCGCTTCCAATTGTCATTAATAGTTTATAAATTCATTTCATATTTTAAAATTGTTTTAAAAAAAATACTGTCGAAATAAACAGTTCTTAATACACCATCGTAAAAAAAGCTGAACGCATTTTAGTGACAACACATTAATATAAATTCACCGAATGAAATAGACTAGTATTCTCGCTGTCCATTGAGATTTGCGTGGCGCAACTTGCACTCACAACGACGGATTCGCCACGTTATGCAAAACGCGACAGTTTCCATGTAACTCGATAATGTCACAGCGCGAAAAGAAATTCGTGCAAGAAACACTATTTACGATGATGTGCAGCTGCAATCATGCTGTCGGAGAAATCTGTTTACCGCCATCGCCAGTGGTTCCACCCGGAGTCGACACACACACACTCTCTCTCTTTTTCTCTCTCACTCTCTCGAGACTCACAGAGAGGACAGCTCTGTAGGTACAAAATCCAATAATGGCAGCACGACCGTTCGGCATACGCTCTTTTCCAAAAGCCCGTTTTCCACTCGTCGTAATCGCATATTCGCTTTTGCGGAAAAAACGCTTAAAGAGAGAGAGAGAGAGAGAGAGAGAGAGAGCTGTTATTTTAAAATCTTTAAAAAAAAAAATTACATATAATACATAAACAAACTTGAAATAAAAATATACAGATAATAAGAGAACAAAAGAATCTTTGTCACTTATCACTACGTCATCAAACGTGACGGCAAAATAAATAACGTTGAATATGTTGAAACGCTTGAAAAGAACCCGAAAGTATTTTTCGCGATAGAAAACGGCGGTGCTTTCGAGCTTGAACGGTGATCCGGATTTTATGGGGTTGCTCAATAAAGACGATATTTACGAGGATCGAATTGGCTGTCGAGCGAAGTAACGTATAACGGACGAAACGTGAGGCCGATTTGCGGCTTAACGAAATCCTTGCTACGTCGTCGTAGTCTACTCGCATTCGAGGTTTTCGCGTATACGCCACGACGACGTGGTGAAACGGTAACCCAACAAGATATACAAGCAATGAGATCGGAAACGCGAAAATCGAAAAGTTGAGCGTAACCATTGCGTCTCGGGTCCGTAAAGCTTCTTTTTCGCTCGCGCGAAAAGGTTTACGTTCGCATATAAGAAACCACCAACACTGAATGTAAATCTAGTAAATGACAGATATATGATAAATATTTTGATTTGAAATATAAACAATGATTATTTCGTACGCTCGCAATATATGAATAAAATTTAACTAGATACAATACTACCGATATTTGCGTATGTATTAATGCAAGAAGCTAACTCGCTTGAAATGTCAGAAATATTTGACGGCCTGGCGAATTTAATTAACTGCTAAATTATTTTCACACGAAATATCGATTATTAATGCGTTTTTTGCGGAACAACATTTGCCAAATATTAAAACGGACTAATATCACGGACGCCACTTGACACAGCAATATCAATAAAAGCTTGGACAATGCTTCTGCGGTAATAACCGAACATAGTTACCGCAAATTATCGTTTTATTTCGCAATTTGATGCGCGATCGTAACGTGACGCAAATAATTCATGACATTAACCTCGCCACAACGTTATTTTGTGACTGACGCGCGCTGCGTTCTTCCGGCAAGAAAAACGCAAAACGACGTGTGTGTAATGTAACGTTGTGCACGCAAATCGTCTTGTACGTCTTTCCGCGAAAAACGTAACGAGATAATTCCACATATACACAGAATGCTGAAGTATTTTTACTTCTTTGAATGGCGATTATTTTCGAAAAAAGGCCTAATGTCGTATACAATTGGCGAGATCCGCGTGTTTGCAACGTGTTACAGCGAGTTCTTTGAGCGATTAAGGCCGCTCCCAGATATCTATAGCGCCATAAAAAGTCGTGTTCGAAGCTGAGCGAACGAGCGCTCCGGGAACCATCGTTCATAAATATCAATGCGGCTTACCTGTACAGAGGCTCGCCGCTGTCCTCTTTGAACCAGAGCACCATGGAGACGGCGTCATTCGAGTCGGGCTGTATGTTACACGGCAGTATCGTCCTCTGACCCGCCACCCCAACAACCGACTCCATAGGTACTGAAACACATATCGCTCGTTCAAAAAAATGTCTATTCCTGGAAAAACGACGAAAAATGAGAACCGAGTAGAAATTGTCAGATAACAAAGAGTTATGGATTTTTTAGGCGACTAATAACAATCTCCAAGATCCTTCTCGAGAAAATGACGATATCAGGACATGCTCTCGATATAGCGGTGAAACGATATAAGATCCTCGTAACTTGATATCTCACCGGGCTTCATCAACATGTATGATTTCCAGAAATTATTCAAATCTCATACGATTTCTTTTGATTATTTAACATTAAAAGAGATAAAGCTTGTAATTTCTTCGTTTTGTGTAAACTTTATACAATGTTATTCCTAAGATTACGTCGCCAAAATATGTTGTTTATATACTCAACTATGGAAAAATAAAATCTTGAAATTCAAGAACGATCTATTCCTGTAGGTGTACTATATTTTCGTTTTTCTTTGTTTGAATTTCATTTGCGCTTGCGATTGCAGTAACCATAGCGATATCGAGCTATGTTGTGTGTGTGTGTGTGTGTGTCACTTAGTTTTAACGTTAGTGCTTTCGCGGAAATGCGATGTATTATATTTTTATTATCTTTATACGACCACTATTACATTCTAACACGGCAATCTAAATGTGTGTGGCGCGTATCGTGCGCGATACGAGTCTCCAAAGAGCAAAACCATATCGGTGTTATTATGAAATCACAATGTTTCTCGGTTTCAAAAGAGAGTCGGCGATAAAGTCAAATCAAACATAAAAACAATCGTTTGTCTTCGAGTAGCTTCTTCAAACGCGTTTCACGACACTTTCTGTACCACCGTTTATAATGCAAATTATTATTTTTCTTTGTGAAAACTCGTGAACAGTTTCTGTTCTTCGATTTTGCTCCCAGAAAGATTCGTGGCGTTTTTTTATTCTCGTCGATCGCAATAACGCGTGATCGCGTGAGCAAATCTTGCTCACATTGCGATACGCAAAAATTGCGCTGATTGATGGCGATATTTTTGTATACCTAATTATATCACGGTGTTGAGCACTCACTGTTATTACAAGAGATAACAAACTCTCGAAATAATTATTATACTATTACTTTGTATTATTCTTGATATAATGTAGCGTAAATGTTTATTATGTCTGTGACGTTTCTGGGACTAAAATTCTAGTTACGCTTTGAATAACAACGAGCGGAAAGGAGAAATGAACCGTGTTACTATTCTGATTACGCTGTAACTTGTACGTTGCTCGCAAATGCGGAAACATACTCTCGTGTTGCGACAACGAGCGCGATTTCCGAAATTTGCAAGCGGCGGCGTTGCGCGTTTTATTTTCCCGCAACCCTCGCGAAATGAAGATTCTTCTACGCGGCGTAGAAATGCCCGAACGACATAGCCAGGATGAGTTTCCTCACCCGGAATTTCGCTTTAAGACGACGTCGTGGCGGCGCGACGCTCATCGAGTACGAAAGGACAGTCCCCGCGTGCATGCATTTTCGCGCGGAAACACGTATTGCATTTACGTCGGCGTTACAACGACTTTATGCAAGTACGTGCGCGCGCTCCTTCACCAAGCGAGAGAAATTCGCGACAGAAGACTCGCTGATCCCGGAATGAGGCTGCAGTAAATATATACGCTTGTGTGATACCAGTTGAAACTGTTTCCAATTGACCATTTCCTGGATGATATTATATTTGAGACATTTTTGTTCTCTTCTATTGAATTTTTCGTGGAAAAGAGAAACGTAGCGAAAAAACTAAAGAAATTGTATGCAGCTTTTGAAAGTATATATTAAAAAGAACATTTATACAAAACACACACGCATAATTAAAAAACAAATACAAATCTATTACAAGCAACAATTTATATCGTGAATTGGTTGCAAAAGAATCATAAAATGACTAATAGCCTCCGAAAGATTAAATTTAAACTAAAGTCACACAATTTCGAATGTGATTTCAAGCGGCAAGCACTATATGACAATAGACACAAATATAGCGTTCTCGCATATATATATCACATATGTAGAAACCGAGTGTCTCAATACTTTATGATACGATTTTCTGCTTCGGAAGGATTTATAGTTCGCGGGCGCGGATATCACGCGAGACGAAATATCGCCGTCTGTCGAATAAAAGCGGCGCAGCAACAGTTGCGTCTGAAAGGTTGCGAGATTTTTACGCTCCGGTGTATAACAAGCTATCGATGTACAAATTACACGATATATTACGATGCGCTAACTCTTAGCGGGCCCAGATTTGAATGATATTCTTCGAGGATATTATTTTGACGGAACTGCAGCGTGACGGATCTTCGACGGACAAAAGAAACCGCATGAGACTTGACGAAGCGCGAACGACGAGAGAAGTTTGCAAATTGCATGCGAAATTCTCCTCTTGGACGATAAAACCGACTTGGATTACGTTCTAAGATGCGGTCGAATTTACAAGATTTGCTTTCGCAGCGACACTCGGAGACGAAACGTGTTTCCGAGTGCTGTGTACGTGCGCCTGTCGTGAATGCTTGACGAGAATTGTCCTTACAAGATGCCATCTGCATGTAAAGAGTGTCGGAAGAGCAATGCATTTTCTCTACTATATTTCTATTTACAATATTATTTTTAATTATCAGTTATAAAGTTTTATTTGAAAACATCGTAAGGGACTCCTGTAACAGTCATTTTGTCATCGTTTATATCAATACAGTTACGAGTTTCCAAGAACACTTGCTCTGTGTACATTAAATAAATAAATAATACCAACAATAAAACAGATGATAATTATTGTTTACGAGTTGTTTTCTATTTAATATCACCGGCTTTACACGGCACAGTGTGTATATGCATGATTCAAAATTAATTACGCTCGCAAACTTCCTTACTTAATAACGGGAAAGGAGTTATGTCTCATTTTAACGCGTTAACTGGCCGCCGGGCTCGTCGAGCGTATGTGTTAAGCCGCGATTTAAATTAAATTTCTCGTAGAACAATGATGTCCTACATGCACGCTGTCGAGCGGAAGTGCCGGCCCCAAGCTCTGCCGGTGACACTTCCGTTGACTGGTGTAATTAACAAAACCGGAAAACCACGAGGACCTCGGCTATTCGCCGCGACTGTTGTTTGAGATCATCTGCCGCCGAGACTTTCTGACGGATTTCTTATTGCGCAATTATCTCTTTCTGTCAGATGCGCGCGCTGCCACCCACTTTTGTGGAAAAGCGTAAAAACAGCAGCTCTCGGCGAATATCACTTATAATTTTTTAATTTATCTTGCGAACTCGTAAAGAACAGAAGACTATTTTTTGAGCGTTTTTCTGCGATAATAATGCGCGTTTGAGCATAATGCAACAAACAATACTAATGTTACGACGTTTAACGTCAATTAGAAGAACAAGTGAAACAATATTGAGTAGGTTCGGTATTGATATCTCGGTTTTCGCACTGTAGTATTTACTATAAGAGGAATCCTTCGCAATGATCAATTAAATAATCATATTTTACAGCGTTTTCGAACTTGCTGAAGTCTGGCCATGACACTCTCGCAGCGCAGAAAGAAAAAAGAGAGAGAAATGGTACAGAGGCAATTAAAATGCGGCTGCGCACAAAGGGACCTACCGAAATTTGCACCCCCGCGCACTCCACTTTTGTAGACATTTCTCAGCCGGTAATTGCCGTCCGGTCCGCGCGCACGAGAATAACGGGCGGAAGGAATGGACCGCATGAAATATCCTTTCCATACCTTATACTCGCAGCACAGCGAAACAAAGAGAAAAAAAGAAACAAAGAGAAAGAGAAAGAGAGAAAAAGAGAGAGAGAGAGAGAGAGAGAGAGAGAGAGAGAGAAAAGGCATCTAAAAAGGAGAAGAAATAAAGAGAGGACGTAACAATGCGATGGGACGTGGACAAAAAGGGAAATTGTGCCGCAGTTATCTTAATTACTTGACTTTTTGGATGTCAATCTAGAGCTTCCGAGTTGATTACGTATATTATAGACGATTGTTCTAAAAGTCGTTTTATCCGAAAAAGTTCCGCTAAACTATCTCAATTTTGAGGAATTTCATCAAGGTAATTTATTCGATATATTTTTGTGTTTCTAAATTAAAATTTTTGTCCAGCAATCGTGCAAAGTATTCAATTTCAAATATCAAAAACTACCTCTTTCGTGTAGAGCATTCATAACTGTCGCCAAAAATTGGTGGAATCGAGAAGCTCTCATAATTCTTTCGATGTAAGAACCGTGCGCTGATTGTGTGTGCCTCAGGGGGTCTCGGAATATCATTTTTCAAATAGGTCGATAACAGCATGACGGCAGCGAACAGCAAACTTGCATGTGTGAGTCGGAATCGATGATTCGGCATTATTCGAGCGGGGGAAACGACGCGTTCGCAACTTTCGTCGACACCGGCACGGGCAAAGGACGCAATGGTCCCTGCACAATCCTGCAGAAACCGGCCTTTAGGTGAGTTTCATTCTGCAGCGCGGTGAAGAGGAAAGGACAGAGAACGCCGAAGCGCGTCTGAAAGGAGCGCGCAGGGCAAAAGTTTCGAGAATGAGGTGCTCTCGCAAAAAAAGGGAAAAGGATGGACGCAAAATGCTGAATCGAAGCCCGTTACCGCGACAAAGGACCCGAAACTTTCGACATGGCGAATCCGCGGCAAAGGAAATTCCCGTAGCTTCATGTTGCGAGAGCTTGTTGTCGCACTGCGCCGTGTAGCTTCGATGAACAGCAATACTACGAAAGCTTTCGTCGAAAATTCGCCGGAGAATGAATATTTCGCTAAGACGGCTTTGCAAAGAGTTCTCACGCGGATTATATCGCTCGTCTGCGTATCATGAGTCTTTGTGCGACTATAAAATAAAAGAAGATTTATTTGCATCTCGAGACAAATCCGCTGTCTCGAAAAGTCTCTCTTTCTAAGAATTGAAAGAATATCTACTAGAGACAACGTCATGCGACTGGCAATAATGCGATAGCGCAATAGTTATTCTAAAACATATTTAACACACT